AAAATAGAATCGGAGTACATGGATACTCAAAGAAAAACAAGCAAACCACCGCCAAAGAAGCAAGAAGGCGGAAGTGACTAAGTCGTTATTGCTTTCAGTTTTGCAATTTGTTGGTTGAAAAATTCTTGAAAATGAGAGCAAATGAGATAGCAATGATAACAGTATAAGGATAATAAAGGCACAATCACAATTAGCTTAACCAACCAAACGGCTGATCGAAAGAAAAGTTCATTTTTCAACGTTACGATTAACAACTACTTGCCTCGCGCTTGAACACTGTCTCTCTACATTGGTCAGATAAATGTTCGCGGTTGTCTTTGAGGCACTCCAACATCTGTAAGAAGAACGTTGATCAATTAATGACTCTGTTATACCCCTTTTTTCTTTGCACTAGTCTATCAACTAAGAAAGAGAACTGAAGAGTGATAATTTTGCCCTTTACTCATCCACATACACATAAATCAGCAATTCACTTTCCATGCAGAGTGGACAACTAAGTGTTCACAAAATCAAGCTCAGCATAATGCACGAAGATAAAATCTTAAATCACTGTGCAGAATAAAGCGCGATAAAAAGTAATTTCGTTCAATCCTTTGCATTTCCTCTCAACTGCAAGGCTGTTTCTGCAACCAGGGATATACTGAACATCTTGTAAAGCTGAATGAAAGCTTTTCCACAAAGACTAGTCTCATCATATCCCTTTCGTTTCCTCCAGGTAACTCAAGTCTCCTGGTTGTTCAACATCGCATCAACATCAACTTTAACTAAGAGAACACCAAGCTAAGAGCCTCTGTACAGGCTGGTATCTAACTAGAGGTAGATTCATGCGAAGGTTAACCCTCTCAAATATCAATAATTTACCAACAACACTTATCTTTACGGATTTTTAATTTTTGGTTTTGTTTGCATATGATGACGTAGATAATGATGTTATAAAAGATTTCCAACACCTCCCTACTGGTCCTGACAGGGGGAGGAAGGTTCATCCTCCTTTGCAGCCACCATTTGAGATTATGACTCAACATGCTCCCTCACTCTCTCGATGCATAGGGTGAGTTACGTGACAATTTTGTGCTGAAGACAGAGGGGTTTCAGCAAAACAGATTACCACTGTATTTCAAGGCTTACCTTTGCTTGACCGAATGTAACTTGGGTACACAATCTTGCAATATCTGCCATGCACTTCACCATCATCACAGGATCAAATTCGACATTTTCCGACTGAAAAGGAAAAATATCGCTTGACTTAAACAAGAATAACTTGCTTACCCTTTTAAGCCTAAGAGTGACCAGCATCTAATTTCTC